CTGAGAACACAGTCACCTCCCCAGCCTCTGGACACCATCACAGTCTCTTCTTCCTGACTCCCCACAGGGCTGCCTCTTCTGCCACTACTTTCTCAAAACATAGCCGGAGAAGGAGACAGGCAGCTTCAGACAGTGAGAAAGAGAGACAGACGTGAGCCGCAAACACGTCTCGATGCCCAACGTGGGACGCTGTTCTTTCCTCTTTTAAGTGGGAGCAGCTCACCACTATCTCTCCTGCAGGTCTTCTGGGGTACCCTGGCCCTGCTCCCCGAGGAGCCTGCAGTGGGGAGGGAGAGAGTCCCAGAGAGGTAGAGACAGAGACAGGGACAGAGACAAGAACAGAGAGAGAGGGGGAGGCAGAGACAGGGACAGAGAGACAGAAAGAGAGGCAGAGTGAGATAGAGGGGACAGCGAGCTTTGAACTCACACCACCCACTGGCACATATGGAAGGTCAGAGGGACACTGCCAGCCTGAGGGGTGGCTGCATTTACCAACTAGAAGACGAATCTACTAGTGAATATGGAGGAAATCATGAATGTTCAGGCTTGCACACACATTATGGCTCAGAAATTCCCACTCCTAGATATTTACCCTAGAAAATCTCTTGTGAGTGTTCACTGAGAGACAAGTGCAGACATGTCCCTATCAGCACTGGTTGAATGAAACACAGCAACATGGTGGGATCTTAGAAAGGTAAAAAGAAGAACAAAGCAAGCCACAGAGAACACAATAATAACATCGTAATAAATCTCAGAAATGCTAAAATATGTATTGTACAGATATTGAAACGATTTTTTAAATGAAGGAATACTTTGTTTAATGCCGGAGAGTGGCCACATCTCCCAGGGAAGCAGGAACGCAGGGCCAGGAAGGAGCCGCAGCAGCTTCAGAGGTCTGGGGGATTTTGATAGATTGGGGGGGATCGGCCTCTCCACAGGAGTTCATTTCATCAGTAAATTTCAAAGCTTCCGTATACTATTATGTATGTTCTATATTTACCACATTTTCTTAATAAAAAATAAAGATTATTTTCCCATCTTAATATCACCAATACCTTAAATTGAGGTAACATTCTCCTGAGCCCAGTGCGGCTTTCCAGTCACTGAGTGAGGACAGGAGGTAGCCTTCCCCAGCAGCCACAGAGGCCCCAGTGGGGGTAGGCAGGAGGGTACGTCCAGGTCCCTGAGAACCAAGTCGGTGCTCTTCTGATCAGAAGCCTGAGGGATCTTTGTGGTCTTCCAGCAGCTGCTACTGCACAGAAGCTATCCAAGGGCCACCCCAGGACTCACCAGCCTCCTGTGGCAGGCATAGATCTCCAGAAAGTTTAGACTTGGAGTCTGATCTTCATCAGCAACCAGACCACCGATGCTGGGACCCCACGTGGGACTGGGACTTTACACCCAGAAAGTCACTAAGTTCCAAGGAAATCACCTGGTTTACTTTGCAAAATTGAACCTGGATCCATCCAAAGGTGGTTTATAGAGCACAGATTCCCCGGATTAATCCAGTTGGCCATGGCCACTTGAACCCCAATATCTCAGTGGCTGAGCAAAGCAAGGCCGTATCTGTTGCCCATACGGCACACAGATGACTACAGTCACCACACGCCTTCTTGTGCCAGGGCCTGGGCTCCAGGAGCAGCTCCCATCTGGAAGGCGCCATTCTTGCACAGAGCAAGCAAGAGTCAGCCACAAAATGGATTTTAATTGGTTTGCTTAGCTTTGGCACATGCTTATCTGGGCATGTCAGTGTCTGTGCATGTCACAAGTGAGAGCAAGTCCATGGCCTGCTGACCATCACAGGGGCAGAACATGATGGTCCCCGAAAGGGACACGGGCAGGGCGGGCCCTTCCCCGACAGAAGCCAAGTAGTTGGATTTAATAACACAACTATCGCATCCTCACACCCTAACTCTCTTCTCTTAGTGTTTGGACTAACTTTAAATTTTTCAAAAAATGTTTAATTAAAAACAATTATTTGAGATAGGGTCTCACTGTGCTGTCCAGGCTGGTTTGGAACTCTTGAGTTGACACAGTTCTCCCACCTCCACTGGGACTGTGGGTGCATTACCCTGTGCCCCCATGCCCCCGTGCCCAGCTGATTTTAACTTTGATCATGCATGAGACCCACTGGTGCTGGGAACCTTCCGTAGAATGGACACCTGTGGGATTCCATGGACTACACACCTGGAAGTAGGGCTCTAACCACCTGGGCTCCAATCCCAGCACCAGCACTGGCCAATCGAGACTGATTTTCACAACGAAGATCAACTGTACTCAGGAACTGGGCGAAACAGGCAGTCATGATTGTACTAAGGGACCAGTGGGTTTCCTTACATGTGAACTTTCAGCTTTTCCACTCCCAGCTTTTCCTGTCTTTGTCTGCAGAGCTCCTGGGGCTCTTGCTGGCACTGACCTCCCTTTAGACTGTACTGTCTTCATTTACTGCTCCCAAGGAGATGTTCAGACACACAGTTGGCTTCCCTCTGAAAGACCTTTTTAAACAAACACCTTTCTCCCCTACACTGCAGCCCTGGGAGGTTTTGTCAGGATGTTCAGCTAATTGGCAGGTTCTGCTTCCGCGGGGAAGATGCACCATTTAAGAGGATTAAACGAGGTTTGTTTAAGTCTCTCGTATATACAGCTCAAATAAGCCGTTGTGTTTGCTTTAGACTTCACAAGATCCTTCTTGCATGTTTAAACAGATAGTCCAACAGGTAGTTTCAGCTGCCAGCTGCTTCCTGCATTTAAATCCCAGCCTCACGGAGTTTATTTATAGAGGATGTTTTCTGAACCAATGAAGCACATCCCTGAACGTACAAGAGAAAAGTGATGCTTGCTGTTGGTCTGCAGCTTTGTGCAGCCAATGTCCTCTACATGAGCTGTGCCACAGGACATGTTTCCCGGCAAATACCACACCCTGCAACATGGCAGGATTCGTGCTAATGGAAAAAACACCAGATGCTGGAAAGAGATAAAGGAGAGCGTAGTGCAACACTATGTAGAAGAAAGGCCATAGATGAGAAAATACAAACCAGTCTTATCACCCACGAAGACACTGGATCCCCGGACACAGGGCTGGAAAAGCCTCCTTGGGGTCATGTGGAAGATCCTCAACTCCGGGTGTGGCGTCCAGGAGAGAAAAGAGGTGAGAGAAAGGTCCTTGGAGACCAGCCCAGCAACGAGGGCACAAAGGAATGGCCCCATATCGATACGTGGCACACGCACATCGCCGACACACAACACATGCATGCGCATTACATGTATGACACATGTATGTGACATGCACACGTGACACCTGGATGCCTGTGGTACATTCATTATGTGACACACACAAGTGTGGGACACATGTAAAATGTAGCCTACATTATACTGTAATATATGACAAACAGAAACAAAGTGTCTGAAATAAATCAAATGTTTGATCTTTCCACACAGTGGACGCGGAGTCCCAATAAGCCTGCATTGAGTCCCTCCTGCCGCTAAGCGGCGCTGGAGCCGTCAGTGAGGCGGCGGGTCCGCGCCCAGGACTGGCCGTAGCGCAGAAGGGGCGGAGCGGCTGTGCGGTCCCTCAGCGCCGAGATTCCGCGTGTGACCCACAGGACTGTGTCCCTCAGCACCGAGATTCCGCGTGTGACCCACGGGACTGTGTCCCTCAGCGCCGAGATTCCGCGTGTGACCCACGGGACTGTGTCCCTCAGCGCCGAGATTCCGGTGTGACCCACAGGACTGTGTCCCTCAGCACCGAGATTCCGCGTGTGACCCACGGGACTGTGTCCCTCAGCGCCGAGATGCGGGTGTGACCCACGGGACTGTGTCCCTCAGCACCGAGATGCGGGTGTGACCCACAGGGCTGTGTCCCTCAGCACCGAGATGCGGGTGTGAGAGCGGCTGTGCGGTCCCTCAGCGCCGAGATTCCGCGTGTGACCCACAGGACTGTGTCCCTCAGCACCGAGATTCCGCGTGTGACCCACGGGACTGTGTCCCTCAGCGCCGAGATTCCGCGTGTGACCCACGGGACTGTGTCCCTCAGCGCCGAGATTCCGCGTGTGACCCACGGGACTGTGTCCCTCAGCGCCGAGATTCCACGTGTGACCCACAGGACTGTGTCCCTCAGCACCGAGATGCGGGTGTGACCCACGGGGCTGTGTCCCTCAGCACCGAGATGCGGGTGTGACCCACGGGGCTGTGTCCCTCAGCACCGAGATGCGGGTGTGACCCACGGGGCTGTGTCCCTCAGCACTGAGATGCGGGTGTGACCCACGGGGCTGTGTCCCTCAGCACCGAGATGCGGGTGTGACCCACAGGACTGTGTCCCTCAGCACCGAGATGCGGGTGTGTGACCCACGGGACTGTGTCCCTCAGCACCGAGATGCGGGTGTGACCCACGGGACTGTGTCCCTCAGCACCGAGATGCGGGTGTGACCCACGGGACTGTGTCCCTCAGCACCGAGATGCGGGTGTGACCCATAGCACTGTGTCCCTCAGCACCGAGATGCGTGTGACCCACGGGACTGTGTCCCTCAGCACCGAGATGCGGGTGTGACCCACGGGACTGTGTCCCTCAGCACCGAGATTCCACGTGTGACCCACAGGACTGTGTCCCTCAGCACCGAGATGCGGGTGTGACCCACAGGACTGTGTGCAGGGCAGGGTGAGCGGCTCCGAAGGACGTGCTGATTTGTTTTGTGCGACCACCAGAGCAGGCGCCAGAGAAAAGGCAAGTAGGCAAGGTAAAAAGAAACTTTATTAGCTAGCCAATGTGAAAGAAGAAAGGGCGAAGTTCACCGGTCTCCGGCGGTGGAGGCTTGGAAGTCGCTCCGGCGTTCTCGGGCGAAGTTCCTGGGTCCACATATGAGGAGGGGCCGAGGAAGTTCCCGCCGCGTGTCTGCCCGGAGCGGCTTTATGTCTTGGGCCTGGGACATGGGCGGGTCAGGGCCGTGTGGTAGGCGCGGCCAGGTAGGTTTCGGTTTCCTGGGTCAGACGTCAGGTTGCGCCTGCGCAGCTGACCTGTGTCTTTCCCTGGGCGCGGGAAAGTTGGTGATGAAGAACCCGGAAATACGCCATCGTAGTCCCTTTTGTTCTTTGTTTCCCTCCTCCCTCCGTCCAGACACGTGCCACCTGGTTGTGAAGCAGCCTGAGGTGCCCCCAGGGGCAGGAGACCCTCTCTGGCCCCCAGGCTGCCTCTCTGATGCTGGCCTCGGAGAGGACGTTCTCCCACCCGTCCCTGCCGCAGCCGTCACTTCAGACCTGGCCTTGAACCTCTGCCCAGGGTCCAGGTGCCTCAGACCCTTCGTTCGTGGGGTAAGTGCAGGCCTTACTCCTCTTCCTGCACCCAGGCTTGGTCCCCGCCCAGTCTCTGGCCTGAGGACACTAACACACGGGCGCCGTCTACCTGGAGGCCAGAAAGTGGAAGTCAAATACATGTGCCTGCTAATTATTTAAATTTATTTCTTATTCTTCCTATTTATTTAATCAGAGAGAGGATCTCACTCTGTCGCCCAGGCCGGAGTGCATTGGCGATCGTGGCTCACTGCATCCTTGGCCTCCCAGGCTCAAGTAATTCTCCCACCTCAGCCTCCTAAGTAGCTGGGACCACAAACATGCACCACCACACCTGGCTATTTTTTAAATTTTGTAGAGATGGGGTCTCATCGTGTTGCCAAGGCTGGTCTCAAACCTCTGGGCTCAAGCAATCCTCCCACCTAGACCTCCCAAAGTTCTGGGATTGCAAGAATCAGCAACTGTGCCTGACCACATTTTCTTTGTTAGCAGTCAAAATGAAAAAGAAGAGGCAGAAAGAAGATGTTCAGCTGTAATTCCTAGGAAAAAAAATATGTTTGGGCCAGGCACAGTGGCTCACGCCTGTAATCCCAGCACTTTGGGAGGCTGAGGTGAGCGGATCAAGAGGTCAGGAGATTGATACCATCCTGGCTAATATGGTGAAACCCCGTCTCTACTAAAAATACAAAAAATTAGCCAGGTGTGGTGGTGGGCACCTGTAGTCCTGGCTACTTGGGAGGCTGAGGCAGGGGAATCGCTTGAACCCGGGAGACGGAGGTTGCAGTGAGCCAAGATTGTACTACTGCATTCCAGCCTGGGCGACAGAGTGAGACTTCATCTCAGAAAAAAAAAGAGAGAAAGGAAAAAAAAAAATATGTTTGCTTTCATTATGATCTTCTTGAACAAAGATGAACTGAAAAAAAAGAAAAGGAAAAGTCACCCAAAGTAAATTAGAAGAACAAAACAACTGAGGAGGCTGGGAGAAAAAGCCGTGTTTGGAAAACACAGGAAACTGTGAGGCTTTTCTGCTGCATCTGTGTGATCCTACCCAAGCTCTGGTGTGGGAAGCGTCCACGCGGAGGCCCTTTTAAGTGGCTGAGTTTGGAGACATTGGAAGACCCAGATGTACAGAACATGCCTGAACATAAACACAGTTTCTTGCACTTGAAACAAAACACTGAAAATGAAACTTAGCAGAAAACCAAATGTATCAACGTCCTTTGAGAACGAATAAGCACAGGGGTGTGGAGGAGAGCCGGGCCAGCCTCAGACTCAGCCTCCCTGGAGCCTGAGACGTCCGCTTCTGTGTGGTCCCAAGGGAAGGGGTGTGGTCCTCTTCTAGCCAGCCACGTTTTCGTTTAAGTAAAAAGGCAACTGATAATCTTTCTCAGGCCATCAAAAACCCAATGAAAATCCATCCAAACAACGACAAAAGTCAACCAAAGAAATAGGCCAAGAACAAGGATGGCAAAGTTAAAATTCACTTCAACAGGCCGGGCACAGTGGCTCACGACTGTAATCCCAGCACTTTGGGAGGCCGAGGCAGGCAGATCACCTGAGGTCGGGAGTTCGAGACCAGCCTGACCAACATGGAGAAACCCTGTCTCTACTAAAAATACAAAATTAGCCAGGCATGGTGGCCTATATAAAAATAAGCCAGGGCATGTGTGGGCCTATTGCCTGTTAATCCCCAGCTATTTTGGAGGCGAGGGCAGGAGGAATTCGCCTGGAACACCCAGAAGGCCCAAGAGGGTTTGTAGAGAGCGAGATCACGCCCACCAGCACTCCCAGGCCTGGGCCCAAACCAATGAGCAAAACTCTGTCCAAAAAAAAAAAAAAATAAAAGGCCTGGGGCGGGCGGGGGTTGCCTCAAACCTGTAATCCCAGCACCTTTGGGAGGGCCGAGGCGGGTGGATCACGAGGGTCAGGAGATCGAGGGGGGACCATCCCTGGGGCTAAACATGGTGGGGAAACCCGGGGTCTCTTACTAAAAATTCACAAAAAACTAGCCCGGGGCATATAGTTGGGGCAGGGCGGGGCCTGTATCCCAGGGCTACCTCGGAGGGACTGAGGCAGAGGGAGAGAATGGCGGTTTAAAACCCCGGGAGAGGCGGGAGGCTTTGCAGTGGGAGCCCGGGAGGGATCGCGCGGGCCACTGGCCACTCCCAGGCTGGGCGAAACCACAGCGGAAGACCTCCGTTCCTTCAAAAAAAAAAAAAAAAAAAAAAAATTTCCACTTTGGTCAGAGAAACTGAAGACTCAAATCCCCCAATTGTGGAAATATATTTAAAAATTTTAAAGGAGAATGTACATGTGTGGGAAGTTGAAACAATTAAGTTGGGAGGTTTACTGAAGGGGAAAGCCTTTTTTCAGGGCCCATAACCCCTTCTCCCTTGGCCTTTTTACAGGATTTTCGTTTTCCTCCGGAGCTACCCAAAAGATTGCCCCTTTGTCCCTTTGAAGGTTTTTTCTGGGTTACCAAATCAAGGTATTTTTAACGGGGTATTTTCATTGCCCTTTTATTTCCTTTTTCCTTGGGGGTAACAAGAGATAACATGTTACAACGTGTTCAATTTTTTTTTTTTTTAAGGAGCTTTGGGTTTCTCAGATTTTTTGATTTTTTTCATTCTTCAGTCTTTTTCTTTAAGGCACCCAACTGGGCCACATTGCTATTTCCTGCAATTTCCCCCAAGCCTTACCGGTCTTTCTCGGGGATGGGGTCACTGCCAGTGGTCGGCATTTGCTGTTTTTTCGGTGTCACCACTGTGTGAAGCTGCCTTCAGAATGCCTGTTCCCACCACCGGGGTCAAGGGCTGTTTTTTTCCCTGTCCCCAATTCTACCTTTCCTTCGGCTCTTTGGTTCAGGCTTACATCTTGTTTACATCCCTGGAAGGTGTTTTCCTTCTTGCGTTTATTTCCTGGATCTTCTCCACTTCCCCACAAACCTCCCCGGGCCCCGTAACCATCCCCTTCAGTTTCTTTTTTCCCCCAGGAAGGGGGTTTTAAACTGGGGACCTCTTATTTTTGAGCTATTTTTGTTTGTTTCTTTGGATGGATTTCTTCCTTCTTAGTGGCCCCTTTTTTCAGTTGTGCTTTTTTTTTTTTTTTTTTTTTTTTTTAAAAGATCCCCCAAAAGTGCTAGGGATTACAGGCCTGGTCATCAGGCTGAGAGCGTAATGGTTAAGGATCTCAGGCTCACTGCAAAAACCCTCCGCCTCCTGGGGGTTCAAGGGCAAAATCTTTCTTGCCTTCTGCCTCCTGGGGCCTCTTGGAGGGTAGGGCTGGGGCTAACAGGCCAATTTTGTTACCCACCCGTAGAGACAGGGTTTCACCATGTTAGCCAGGATGGTCTCAATCTCCTGACCTTGTGATCCGCCGGTCTCAGCCTCCCAGAGTGCTGGAATTACAGGCATGAGCCACCGCGCCCAGCCTTGAAACATTTTAAAGACAAAAAAAGAACAAATAATTTTATAAAACAGTCATATTCCCACAACCAGAATTAACAAAATATTTTGTCACATTGTTTTCTAGTCCTTTGAAAAGGACTCCGGCGAGGTAGAGGGATCCTTAAAATAACATAGGTGCAGCCTCTCCCACCCCGGGCGGCCAGTTTGAGGTGTTTGGTTTGCATTTTTATATTATTGTCTTTTAAGTTTCACATATCTATATATTTGCATTTATCCATTACATAAGCCTGTCTTTTGAGCATGTTACTGACATAAAGGGCACTGCTTGGCATTGATGACTCCACTCCTTCCTCTTCTCACGGTGCTAGTTATCACAAAACCCATTTGGTCTATTTCATTAACTAGTTTTTGGCTGTTCACACCTAGGCTTTATCTAGGCTATTTATCTAAAGTAGCCTTTTGAGGGTGGAATGAGGCAGGGACCCTGTTCCGCAGATGGAAGCCCAGTCCCCGGGCTGTGTGCTGGGTGCCTTGTTCCCCGACTTGGGAAGCTGCCTCCTGGAGTCACCGACTCCCATGCGAGACTCTGCCTCTGAGCTCTGCACTTTTCTGCTGACCTGTTAATGCCACACTGTTTTCATTACCATACCTTTGAATATATTTGCTTTCTCTTCCAATTTGGCTTTTTTTTTCCCAAAAAAATGTTTTAACTGTTTTTTCTCCTCAAACCTTTTAAATGTTATATTATTTTTAAAAATGTTAAAAACAAAAGTAGATGAGATAGGAGAGTCAGCTCCTATGTGTCTGTCCTCAGCATCAAAAAATCACCAAATCAGGCCCAATTTCATTGCCTCTGCTCCCCCACCAGCCTCTCCTCCTCCCCCAGACTCTTTTAAAGCCAATTACAGTACTACACCATGTCATCTGGGAGCATTTCTGAAGGTATTTATTCACGTATATTCTTCTGTATGTGCTCTAGAATCAGTTTGTTAAAGTCCCCATATATTTTCATGAATCTTGATGGAATGTTCACTGAATGCTAAGATGTTGGAGAATTTACTGTTATCCAAAGTCTAATATTCCCGTCCGAAACACTGGTGCTTCTCCTCCTCAAATTCTTCCTTTGTGCCTTTCAATAACATGTTTATAGTTCTCTAAAGGAAGGTCTTGCACATATTTTTGGATTTTGCTGCAACCCTGACTGTCATAGATTTTACTGTAGCCATGAGTGGCCCACATTTGGGGTTCTATTCCCCGTCTGGTGACTGCAGAGTAAATAAATGCTAAGAAATCCCGGTATGGCTCTTGTTCTCTGCAATCCTGTCGAACTCTTGTATTGATGTCAGTAATTTAATCATAGATTCTCTTGAATTCTATCTGTATAGAATCATAGCATCTGCAAGAAAATCAATATTTTGCTTTACTTTTTTCTTGTTATAGTTTTGTGTTTTTTTTGTACTTTTAAATTGTATGGCAATGGCTTGGAATTTCAATGTGTTGCTGAATAAGAGCAGTGATAATTGGCAGCACTTTTGTGTTCCTGATATTTATGGGCAGTGTATGCTTTCCATCTGTCTACTCTCTTTTTCCTGCCGACGTGTTTGATTTTTCCTGGTGTCTCTGTGTAGCCCTGTGCCATTCCTGGCTGGTGTCGTTCCTCTGGGGAAGAAGGCAGCTCTGCTGAACCAGCTACATCCCTTGGCCCGGCAGGAGGCAGGACGAGGGAGTGAGCTGCGCAAAGAACACGTCCACCTGGGCTTGCTCCTCCGAACACCTTCAACACTCTCAGCCTCCTCTCCCACTCCGTTCTCCTCTTCTGAGCTTTCCCGAATCACCAGTGCGTGGAGGCGGCCTCTCGTTCCTGTCCACCTCCTCACAGGCCGACACCCTAATCACAGACAACGGAAACGGCTCCTGGACTCAGGTGCGTTCTCACCTCCCACCTCTCCATTCCTCCTTCCCAGTGGCCCCCAGCCATGGTGCCGTCTGCAGCCAACACTGGGGCAGAACCTGGCTTTGGGGCAACGAGTACTCCACGGAGTAGGTCAATGGGGTGGGGCATTCAGGCAGAGTGACACGCGGGTTTGCCCCAAACTTCACCTCTGGTGGGGGGTTCCTAGGTGTCCCACAAAGGCTGGGCCTGGCAGGGATCAGAGGGCAGGACTCTGCCCTGGCTGGGCCTGTTTCTGGCTACCTGCTCTTTCCCTCCCCTGCCCTGCTCATTGCCAAGCGTGTGGACATGAGATGCAGCAGGGACAGAGAGCTTGGACGTGGGAGGGCCTGTGACCCTGGGGACTTAGGGAGCCTGCTTGGGTCACACTGTACCTCCTCTCTGCCCTGTGCCTGGTACTGAGCTGATAATATGGGCTCTATTTTCCATCTGTCTGCATCATTTATGTTGAGAAGCTCCCAGTCGTCTGATTTGCCATGTTATCACCTCAGGACAGTTAAACAATTAACGGTTTAGCAGCAGGACGGTAACTGCCACATACACAGTAAGTGTCCTGGTTAGAAAACAAGCAATCAGAGAAAATACACTTTGAAAAGAATTAGTGGGCAGCTGAGTTTCCTATCTTTCACCTGGTAGATTAATGGCTGTATGTCGACACAGCGACAGGCTAACATTTTCAAGTAGAAAGACATATGATTAAATCTCTCTTTTGATGTTTTCTGCAAATTGCTTCTCTAAGCTCTGCTTCCAAAGGGCAGCTCTCCAATTAGAGTCAGAGATTATTATTACGGGGTTAGCAATCACTCCTGCTCCCGTAGCTGACTCATTCTTTAACGTGCTAATTAGCAAATATATCCAGTGCCTTGTATCATATTTGACCTTCAGCGTTGTGTTCTTTTCTAACTGGAATCATTTTATGCCATTCCAATGAAATGGAGACATCGCTCTGAGGTTTCTGACCCCTCCCTCCAAAGGGCCCCATGATCGGCTGCAAAGCCCAGGAAGATCAGCCACGCACACACCCCTCTCTGGATCATTATTTTCCAGAGATTGATGACTTAATAAGTTCACTTTCATTCAGCAAGTTTACCATCGCTCTTCTTAAAGCGATAGTTTGTGTGTTCGTGACGATTTGGAATTGTTAGTGAAGTGGACCTCACACTGGGGTCTGGAATTCTAAATTGCTGCCTAACGGTCACTGTGAAGAGAGGGTGCTGTACCGACCACGTCTGCACCCCACGGGGTCCAGAGAGGACCAGCTCACGGAGTTGGTCACGAATTCCCCTTCTCCTTTCTCTCCTCACTTCACGTAGGTACATTCTTTCTAAAAAGATTAAATGGCGTCGTATAAAATTGATATACCCCATTCGCGCTCTTTCAGCTTCCAGAGGCTCCAAGGCCCTCGGTCCTGGCCAGGCCCCTCCATGGTCACAGCAGTGATGGCCTCGTCCTTCCCACATGAGGGCCCCGAGGGTAACCCTGGATAACTCAGCGTGATCTCCCACCCAAGGGCCCTGCCTGGAGCCTGAGTCCACCTCAGCTGGGTGTCCTTTCCCCCAAGCCCAACACACTCAGTCTCTGGGGATCAGGGTCTGTGCGTCTCTGGGTGACTGCTCCACCTGCCCCAGCAGGGCGCCGCGGGTGCGTGGGTCCTGTGCCGGCATCTGCCTGGCTGTCACCACGGGCATCTGCCTGAAGGCAGCAGTTCTCCGCCTTCCTGCCTGCTGTGAACCTGGTTTCTGCTCCCTGGTTTCTGCCTGGCTCCCACGGAAAAGATCGCCACATTCTCTGCTTCTCTCCACTGTCTGCCCTGCTCCGACAGGCACGGCCGTTTCTGTCGAGTGCCTCTGAACCTCAGAGTTCATGCAACGCTTGAGGTGAACAGAAAGCCCAGGTCTCCATTCAGGGCGGGTTCGCAGACTCTCATAGCCCCCACACTTGTCGCTCTCAGCAGCTATCTCAGAACCTGTTATTAACCAAGTGATGCGATTGGTCTCTCTTCTCATTAGACCATGACCTCTATGGGGACGCGAACCTGTTTATTCCCACACTGAGGCTTCAACCCAGGGCCTACACTTAGGAAATACCTGACATTTGTTGAGTTTGTGAACAGATGAGCACATCCTCCATTAAATGAAGCTGAGTGAAGTGAAGGCTGAGAGGAGATGGTGACAGCAGGAGATGCAGCCGTGGGGGCAGATTCTCCCTCTCAGTGACGTTGTCACCAATGCAGCAGCTGATCGGCAGCTGACTGTGTGTTGGGGTCAATTGGGCAGCTTCAGTCTGTCCCTCTGCAGAGATGGCTCATGGTGCAGATATGCAGCGAGCAGGCCTGGCTCTCCTGCAGGCCAGTCCTCACCCACCTGTGTCTCAGTTTCCTCTTTTATAAAACAGTGACAAGGCAGTCCTCCCCTCATAGCAACACGGGGGTGGCTGAGAGAACTGTGAGCCCTTGTCCCTGGACTTAGGACAGGGTCTGGTGCCCTTTGAGACTGGGCCACCCTTTAAGCTCCAGCACGCCAGTGACTCCAGCAGCATCAGCTGTGCTCCGCTCCCACGAAGATGCTCTAGAATGTAGACACACCATTGCTTTCGTGGAACCAAGAGAGGAAAAACACTTCCAATTAAACTATGACAAGCCATGTAACTAAGATACATTCTGATTCCTGAAATGTGAGGCTGTGATCACCATGTGTGCCCCAGCATCTAGAAGATGCCAGGGTCCCGAGGGAAGACACTGAGGACCATGATGGGGCGGTGCCCAGTGGGGCACGATGGCTGAGCAGGCTGGTGGGGGCCAGCTGCCAAGCCGGGTGGGCTAGAGCCCGGGTCCCATATCACCTCCCGGCCCAGGAGCTGGCAGAATGCACCTGCACGTGGTATTTGCTGTGGCTCCTGACTCTGCCAGCATGAAACACATTTATCTCAAAATTTCTTGCGAACACAAACTTGATATTTTTGTTCTCAGAATATTTACTGGGAAAGGGCATAAGGACAAAAGGGCACTTTGTTTAGTAACATTTTACTGAATTCGTATTTAATTCATCACAAAAGCATCTAAGCACCTTGGTGGACCCAAAACCACACCTGGAGACATGTCAGTCTCAGACCACAGTTGCTAGAAGGGCGCTTGTGACACCTCAACATGTTCCCAGGGGTCCCAAGACCTCAGCCTGGGACTCTGCACCCCAAAATGAGGTTTGCAGCCCTTAGTCGGGTCTGCACGTTCTTAGCTTCTAGAGCAGCCTCCAAGATGGGAGCTCATTTACACCTGTACACCCTTGAGCACCCCAACTCTGAGCCTCCCCAGCAGCCAGGTGTTGTCTTGCTGTGCAGAAGCACTTGACTGTTTTTAACTGGTGTCGACACACTTCCTGTCATTTACCCTCATTGTGCGTGTAAACTGTGCCTACGCGATTCAGGTCGATGCTGTTGTGGGGCTTGTTAAGAACCCCGCTGCAAGGTGGGTTGCTGCCCCGGAGGCATCTTCTTCAAAGCCTGGATTTCTATTAGTTCGTTTTCAGGGGTGGAATGGCTGCATGCATTTCCCACCCGTGCACCCTGCCCATGGTAGACCAGAAGGAAGATTAGTAGGAAGGAGTTTGCAGCAAAAGAAATGTTTTTCCTAATCTCTAAGCAGGCTATACAGACTGTCCTAGCCTTATCTCACAGCCAGTAGTGAATTAATCAAAACCCAGAAAGCTGCTTCTGCAGGAGGGATGAGCACTGCTAAGAAGCTGCTGATAATGTCCTTCGGGTGATCCTCTTGTTTTTTTAAAACATAGACTTTTGTCTCCATTGGATTATTTCCCTTCTCTGAGGGCCCCTGCAGTGGCTCATGCTCAGATCAGCATGAGCCCAGATGCTCTGGGGTCCAGCACAATGACCACACCCAGCCCCTCGGTTACAGCACAATGACCACACCCAGCCCCTCGGTTACCTGAGGTAAGCACGGGTGAAGGGGAATGAGGAAGGCCCTGCTGCAGGGCGGGCAGTGCGGAGGGAGGGGCTCGAAGGGGCCGGGGGGTCTGCTTTCTCGGGGAGGGGCCATGGGTGCAGGCGACAGACACACCTGAGCACTTGGGGAATCATCTTCCTGACTTCTCGGCTCTGGGCTCCAGGGTCCAGTCCGGCTCCCACCCACACAGAAGGAAAAGGATGAACAAACTGAAAATCAACAACTCTTCTTCACCCGTCAGAGAACTGAGTCACCGGGCAAAGCACGGACCCCGAATCTGGAGGCACAGACAAGCGGGTTCCGAGGACCTCAGCTGACAGGAGCAGAACCTCTGTGGGGCCAGCGCCAGGGACCTGAGCTGCCCCTGATGAATTTCTGGAGATGCCACCTGGACAATGAGAGAGAAAAAATCCAGGGGGACCCAGTCATGGGGGACCTGCACTTGGTGAATTTTACCTCTGAGAGCTCGACCAGGTTCCCACAGTAAAGAGAGGAAGAATCGGCCGGGTGCAGTGGCTGCGCCTGTAGAGGCCGAGGCAGGCCAATTGCCTGAGCTCAGGAGTTCGAGTCCACCCTGGGCAACGTGGTGAAACCTCGTCTCTACTAAAATAGAAAAAAATAGCCAGGCATGGTGGCAGGCGCCTATAGTCCCAGCTACTCGGGAGGCTGAGGCAGGAGAATCGCTTGAACCCAAAGGCCGAGGCTGCAGTGAGCCAAGATCGTGCCACTGCACTCCAGCCCGGGTGACAGAGGGAGACCCTGTCTCAAAAAAAAAAAAAAAAAAAAAGGGAGAGTGGAAAAATCCCCTCTTACTTACAGCCAGAGGAAAGGGACTATTTTGAAATACACCCTGTTCTCGTGAGGGCTGCTTCAGGGGGAATTATTTCACCAGAGTCTAACAGACCCGAGGTTTTCATCAGTCTAACTTACCTGGGGAAAAGCAAACCCCAACTCCAGCCCCCTCTGGCCTTCCTGTCCCACCCAAGGGGGAAGGGGAGATATAAACTCAGCAGCACTTTGTGAGGTCATGGCACAGGGCACAGGCTCTGGAAACTCTGGTCCTAAATCACAGGGCCGTGCGCACACCTTCCAACCACCACAGTTCCCTTTCTACAGGCCCCTCTGCAATAACATGTTTCCCAGGAAGAATGCTCACTTCAGGCCTGACTCTAGGAGAACTGCCTTTCTGATGTTAAGGTGTCAGAGGGCTCGCTTCCAAACCCTGGGTTAAATCACTTAGTGGCACATTTAGCCATCACCCTGTGAGAGTTCAGAAAGAACGAACGTTCACATGCAAAGAAACAGTAAACAGGCCAGCGCCGTGGCTCACGCCTGTAATCCCAGCGCTTTGGGAGGCTGAGGCAGGCCGATTGCTTGAGCCTAGGAGTTCGAGACCCGCCTGGGCAATGTGGCAAGACCCCTCCTACACAAAAACTACACAAATTAGCTGGGCGTGATGCTGCATGCCTGTAGTCCCGACTGCTTGGGAGGCTGAGGCAGAAGAATCACTGAGCCTGGGAGGTGAAAGTTGTAAGCCGAGATTGCCCCGATCCACTCCAATGTGGGCTGCGGGAGTGAAACCCTGTTTAAAAAAAAATGGAAAAAAGAAGAAACAGTAAGCAAGTTTGCTTCTCTCCTCCTCCTTAAGGAGAAGCAGCCATTGTCCCGTAATATTCATAAACCTGCTGTTGAGGGTTTTCAGGGAGTCTTCCCTTTCTCTCCTGTGTATGTGTAACAGCCTCTCCTGTGCCCTGCTGACGTCTCCCTGGCATTGTTTCTGCTCCAAGTGCCAACTTGGGGTTCAGGTCTCACTGTTACCAGCTTGGTGTCTGCACCATCCCTTGTGGTTTTCTTAAACTCTCCTCACAATTTTGTCCACAGTCCTTTTATTAAATCCTCCTTAAACGATCCTAACTTGAATGTTTCTTTGTTTTTTCTCTAGTGGGACTCTGACTGACACCCCTGAGAAGGCAGAGGAGGATCGACAATGTAACATAGACCCTCTTTCTATATCCCCTTTGGCAAATACACACGTCACGTGGTTGCTGTTGTCTGTCTTAATTTGGATGGTGTAAGTACTTGCCACTTCACTCATCTCTCCCTCACCTCCTCTTGAGAGAAGGGCAGAGAAATGTCGACACCACAGCAAACCACAATGAGTACCCAAGCGCCTGCAGGACCACGGGGAATTCGGGGCACCGCTCTGCCAAGAATCCTTCCTACTCCCTATTTTCTCAACCAAAATGCTGTCTAATATACTTTCCTCACTTCCCTGTACCCACATGAAAAGTGCTCGGAAACTGACATTGGGTCAAGCATACAGAAATAGTCAGTATTTAGTTTTACCTCGGAAATTGTGGTCGTTCTGTTATTTATAGCATCTGTGGAAAATGCTCATTTGCTCTTGGAATCCAACATTCTTCATAGGATGTCAAGCAATGTTTTTCAGGCACACAGAGTTTATATAGTAGAGCCACGAGCGTTTCATTTGTCCTTCTTGCTGGCACCCACATGGGCCACACCGCACCTGGCCGCTCAGCACAGGAAGAGCAAAGTGTGAACTGAATATTGGCATCCAGCTGGGCCTCGTCCGGAGGTTGGCAGACATCCGAGTATGTCACGCTTTGCTCCTCCTGTGCTGCATTTGTTCCACGAATGTTGATGGCACAACGACCACACCCAGACCCTCTGTTACGTCCCCTGTGGGAGGTCAAATAAATGAAAATGACTTGGTGCTGTCTTCAGAGAGGCTGCAGGTCAGCCCAGCCACGTGAGGTCACCATCAAGACCACCTTTTACCCAGAGCCCCTCAGGACTAGTGTGGAGATTTGGGGAGCCTGAGTCTGCCCAGATTCTCTGATTTGAATAGAGCAATAACACTTCCATTTGCTTTACATGTTAAGTGAAAGCCCAATCAGTCAACTGGAACAAAGAGTTTGAGGGTTTAAAAGTCAGGTAGGAACGCACTGATCTGTAGCAGGGTTCCAAGCCTGTCTACCCAGGATCAGCTGGAAAGATGTTTGATAATGGAGGGTGCAGTTTTACCACCATTAAAATGAGCGACACCTGGTGAAGGAATGTTCCAGCGCTTTAGCGAGCCTGGGTACACAGCCTGGCAGACTTGGGAGCCATGTGTCTAGACCCGGGGTGAAGGTGGTGCTGGGCATTAGGGCGACAAGCTGCTTGTTTATGCCCAGACTCCATCCCAGAAAATCTGTGTGGGCATGACAGGGCTTGAGCATCCATATTTGAAATAAACAGTGCAGTATTGCAGGTGACTCTAGTGCAAGCAGCCTGGGGACCACAGGTGGAGAAGCATGGTGCAGAGGACCCCGAAATACAGGAGCACAGCACCAGCACACGTGCCGTGGCTGGGGTTCTGCAGATGATGGCTTCAGCTCCACAGATGGTGGTTTCCCTTATAACCATTTGAGGCTTCACTTAAAAAGAACAGTGGATATTTCTGAGTGGTGGAATGATGAGTGGTTTGTAAATGTGTCTTCCTTATGTTTGTCTGAACTTTCTGGGGTTTTTTTCTATCTTTATCCATTTATTGATGCAATAAATATTAAGCATATAGTATATGCCACCTACTATATTGTTTCAGCAAAGTGATAGTGATTAATAATGTAACAATATACTAATTAATATAGAAGCACAACTAAGAAATCTGTCTGCTTTCTAAGCAATAATTTTGGAGAGGCATTTTTATCCTCCATAGTTTGGTTCTTGGCCTCCTCATTCATAGAAATCATATTATATACACTACCCAGGGCCTTGTCAAAGCCTATTTAATCAATAGCAAGCTGACGTATTTTATTTGCTCCCTCTGAGTTGACTCATCTATTTTACAAACGTGTGGGGTGAGGCTTCCTCTTCTTCTTCAGGTTCCTTTCCCTTATCTTTTTATTTTCTGCAGCCTCTTATTGTTCATAACCACACTTCTCTTTATTGTCATCTTCCCTGCTTTGAATCTCTAGTTAATATAGGAAAAGCTTCATACAAAGTACTGACAATGGTAGCAAATCAGCATCCTAATGTTCTACAGCTGTATTAAACAAGCAAGGAGACTGTCAAACTTTAGCAAGTAAAACAGCAACAGAATCTGCAAATATCTCCCTTTACCAATCTTCTTCATGCATTCTTTCAGTTACACTGTGTAATGAATAGACTCTTCTGGCCCAGAACAATAACATCCGTAGAGAAGACTGCTTACACGAGAAATGTGTTCTGTAATTTGTCCATTCATTCATTTATTCACCAAGTATTTGTTTAGTGTCTGCTATGTGCCTGGACCTCGGATGCAGTAGACAAAAGAGACAAAAATTTCCGCCCTGGTGACGCTTATGTCTTGCGGGTAGAGACAGACAGAATAAATAGGTAGAAGACACGGTATGTTAAAAGTTGGAGAAATAAGCACGTGTGAGGGGTCTCTAAGTGTGTGGAGTGGCAGTTCTAACTGAAATAGTAAGGGGAGTGCTAATAAGCAGTGGCTTTTGAGCAAACCCTTGATGAGGTGAGGAACTACTCATGCCGTAAAAGACACCTGCAGGTTAGGGTGTCCTCAGGTTGAGAAGTGCCTCATTTCACGCCAACTTTTCAACTTGAAAGATACAGTTTTTGTGTGATACTGCACAGATACTGTCTTACTGGGCAACTTTCCTTCCATCCTAGGATAATAAAAGGTAAAACCAGAGGGCACTTTACACATCATAGCAAGAATCACAATGAATCTGTGTTTCCTTCTCATGAGTGCCCTTTTAAAGTTTGATAGCTCAACAAGTATTGTAGACTGTACAGTTGTCCTTCAGTGGAAGGAGAAACATAGACACAAAGTATGTCATTTATTTTCTTCTCAAGCTCTTTCTTTAAAATACCTGCCATTTGCCATGGACCGCTAAGGCTGTCTGGCTCATAATGTTAGCAGGATCTTTTCTATTTGTGCAATTTGCTCCCGGTAGGGCAAAAAAATCTCGAAATAATAATATTCTTGCATTTCTTTCCTCTGCTTCCTTCTACATGACTCCGCACTCACTAGTTGATTACAGCATCCACATTGCCTTGAAAAGAAGTAGGATTTTTTTTTTGAGCTGAAATGAAAAGTGGAAGAAAGATTAAATATTCCTTTTTTTTTTTTTTGCTTCCCAAACAGGAACAGTACAACATGAGGAAGTGGAATCAATGCACAGAAATTAAGCTAATATCTTCAGTCTTTGTAACATCACTTGAGCAGCTTCACAAAGTCACTCATGCCTAGTGGCCCTATTAGTTGCTCTTCTCCCATCAATGTGCTTTGGAATTTCCATCAGTAGCTGGCTATGCATTAGTCATGGATCAGACAGCAGAAAGACACAGACCTTGCCAAGTCCCACCTAGGTAGCTACACAGGGAGCCCTCTATTGACCATGGCCCAGAACATGTGCAAGCTACTTTCCATATGAGAGGGAGGGGCACTGGATTAAGAACCTGGTGACTGAGGAGGAAATATCCCCACCAGTGCTTTGGTGGGACTAGAAAATGGAGCCCACTCCTGACACCAGGAAGTGCCCATCTGAAGTTTAACTGAAGACAAAAATCCCAATTTTGGTGCCCAAATGTCTCTGCCTTTTGAAATTATCGTGTAAATTCACTGATAATTCTTAGATTCATGTGGAGACATTAGTATTTTAACTGTTATTCATGCCTTTTAAGGTGATCTTTAGAAGACCCTACATTGTGTTCTACTTGCTTGGCAGGGCTCCCTCCTAGAAATTGAGACAATAAACTTATGCACATGTGGACTGCAACATCAGAGCCCTGGTTCTGTTGAGTAAAAGTACAGAGAATTTTTCGGAAAACAGGCAGAAGTGTGGGTATTTTTGCTATTCTTTGCTTCACTTATCTACAGAGGTGGATCAAGACACCTGGGAAGTGGAAAATGTGGGTTAGCAAATAGAGAAGAGGCTGCTAGTAGGCTGGGAAGTGCCTCCCTCATTTACAACTAGCCAGAGACACTGAACTTGGCTGTCCAGGCAAGCCTGGGTCCTGGGATATATGAAATAAACTTTGGCCTTTATACCGACTTATTCCTCAAGCCAAGTTGTTTCACCAACTTCGTTCTGAAGATCCAGACCCCAGTTGGCATGAATCCATCCCCCTTGCCATCTTCAGCCCTCCCGGTGGAGCGGAGGTTCTTACCTAAATAGAGAAGCTAAATTTCTACGTCCCGATTTTACCTTTTCCATGTGTACATCAGGCATTTTTCTCCAAAAGATTGGAATCATTTGTGTTGACATCTTCACTTATTCAATTCTACTTTCTCTTCTAACTTAGTAAGGATCTCTGCTAGTTGAATTGGCTTTAATTTCTTTTTCTCCCAGAAGTTATTGGAAGAATGCCCATTAACCATTTCATCATATTATTTCTATAAGCCAAATTAATTTTCCAGAATGTGCAGCATATCACCATAATGATTTGCTAAGACCAGTTGCATTAGAAAATATTGCCTTTCTATTTTTTCTGTATTTTTAAATTCAATCAAAAAGGAATAAACTTCTGCTGACAAAACCGCTTGGAAAAACCCATGCTGTTTAACATGCAATTTTCCTATCTTCAGTTTACTAGCTTCTTTGCCAAAACCCTGGTGGCGCGGCATCTGTGGCAAGTTGTCATCATTTGTACAACTAGTGGCCCTAACTGGAAACTTGGAAAATTCCCACTCCTGGACAGTCTGGCACATGGAAACATTCTTCTCAAGATGTGTTAGAATAAAGACTCATTAATGAACAGAAAACACCAACAGCTCTCATAGTTTACAATAGGCACAGGCCCAGTGCGGGGCTGGCGGTGACTGGAATCGGCTTGGGGGAGTGGACCAAGTGCACCCCTTCCCAGCTTCTCATTCAGTGTTGTCTCATGGGCAGTGTGAAATTAGCCGTGGTTGGAGTCTATACATAACAGAAATTAGCAAACGCTACAAATAAGGGCTACCTCACACTCCTGCCCCTCTTCAGAAGAGCTGGGTTTTCAGCTCACCCTGGACATAATGCCCCTGGCTACCTGGGCCATGGCCAGGGTCTGAATGTTTGGTTCCCCCCTAAGATTCCTATGTTGAAATCCTAATCCCCAGGTGACAGTGTTAGGAGGCAGGGTCTTGAGAGGTGATGAGGTCACGGAGAGGAGCTCTTGTAAATGAGATTAGCGCCCTCAGAAGGAGACCCCAGAGAGCTGCCTCTCCCCTCCAGTCACAGTGGGCAGGAGATCTGGGTGAGTGAAGTCAGAGGCTGTCTGAGGGCCAGCTGAGAGGTCCTGCCGCCCGGATACCCAGCCACCAGTGGCCTCATATTTGGTGGACATAGGGAGAGAGGTCTAGGAATTCCAGGCTCAAATGACAACAGAGAGAGACACCATCTGTTGTATGAGCAAATTGCAGCCAGGAGTTTGGTCTGGGTCTGAGTTCTGCCATCCCTGCCTGGGCTGTGTGCATCTCATTGCTCAGATCTCATGTAAGGCAACAGAGAAACAAAAAAGCCATGCCACCATGGAAATAACCATTAACAAGATGAGCAAACACTGATACCACATCTGACATGACTTTGTGGCCTTGGCCCCTCCCGGCATTTCAGCAAAAATTGTGCCCTTTGGATTGTGCATTTCCAGCTAGATCTGCAGCCCGTCTGTTGCATCTCTCTTTCCATTCCTTCTCCACCATTAGAGGTAGATATTCAAGGCTCCAAAAAGTATAAGACTTTCGTCTCGCCTTCAGAGGGCTTTCAGTCTCCATGGGGAACTCAGGGTTTTTTTTCTTTTTCTTTTTTTTTTTAGTAGAGAGCAGGGCTGGGCTAAGATTTAAATAACTGAAACAAATCATAAGATGCTGAGTTTCCTGGAAGACAACCTAGGCCATACCATCCTGGACACAGGAAAGGGCAAAGATTTCATGACAAACACACCAAAAGCAATAGCAACAAAAGCAAAAATTGACAAATGGGATCCAATTAAACTTAAGAGCTTCTGCACAGCAAAAGAAACTATCAGCTGAGAAAACAGATCATCTATGGAATGGGAGAAAATATTTGCAAACTATGTATCTGACAAAGGTCTAATATCCAGCATCTATAGGGAACTCAAATTTACAAGAAAAAAAAAACACCCCATTAAAAAATGGGCAAAGGACACAAACATACACTTTTCAAAAGAAGACATACATGTGGCTAACAAGCACATTTTTAAAAGCTCAGTATCACTGATCATTAGAGAAATGCAAATTGAAACCATGATGAGATACCATCTCACACCAGTCAGAATAGCTATTACTAAAAAGTCAAATAATAACAGATGCTGGCAAGGTTGCAGAGAAAAGGGACACTTATATGCTGATGATAGGAGTGTAAATTAGTTCAACCATTGTGGAAGGCAGTATGGTGATTCCTCAAAGAGCTAAAGGCAGAATTGCCATTTGACTCAGCAATCCCATTACTGGGTACATACCCAGAGGAATAGAAATTGTTTGACCATAAAGATGCATGCATGTGTATGTTCATTGCAATCCACAGCTTACTGCAAGCTCTGCCTCATGGGCTCAAGCAACCGCCCCACCTCAGCCTCCTGAGTAGCTGGGACCATAAGCCCACACCACCCTGTTCACAATGGCAAAGGGAAGAAATCAACCTATTGCCCATCAATGATAGACTGGATAAAAAAGAAAAGTGCTACATATACACTGTGGAATACTATGCAGCCATAAAAAAGAACAAGATCCTGTTTTCTGCAGGAACATAGAGGGAACTGGAGGCCATTATCCTCATATCCTAAATTATGAGAACACATGAACACATAGAGGGGAACAACACACACTGGGGCCTACTTGAGGTGGGAGGGTGGGAGCAGGGAGAGGATCAGAAAGAATGTCTGTTGGGTACTAGGCCAATACCTGGGTGTTGAAATAATCTGTACAACAAACCCCCAAGACATGAGTTTACCTATGTAACAAACCTGTACATGTAGCCCTTAACCTAAAATAACAGATTTTTTTTAAGATACTGGGTTTCTGAAGTCCCCAGGAGGTCAGGAGGAAGAGAGAACATATGAGACAGGCGTGGTCAGTGAGGAACTTGCAGGGGTGGCAGAGGGGCAGGGAGCAGCAGAGTTTAAGCAGAGGAACCAGAAGCCCAGCCCTGGGCCCACCTCTGCCTTCCCGTGTGTGCGCCTAACTCAGCTTTCAGGTGAGAGCTGGAGCTCAGGAGGTTACGTGCTCACTTGGAGTTGCACGTCTAGGAATCCAGATGATGGTCCCACGTCTGCTGTGCGCCTGCCCTAGTATATTGCTAGGACGGCCAACCTCCACTCAGGGGCTGCAGCCGGCCAGCTGGCATCTACCAGGCTCAGCTGAGAGGGGTTCAGGGCCTAAAGGAGCTGTGGCGCGCCAGGTCTAGGCTGCCTGCTGGCTGCTGTCAGGATGAATCCTGTTGTAGATTGATTCTTTTTAGCAACCAGAGATTTTCAAACGTCAATGGCCATACAGTCTCCATGTTATCCTTCCCATCCTGGCACCACTCACTCCTTGTGCTGCAGCCACCATGGGTGCCTGAGTGAACAGCCCCCAAATTCTATTCTAACTCCTTATTTAAAAGATAAGGAGACCTAAGACTGAGGAATTTGAAATAAATAAGCAAACCGGCCTGCCTGAGTTCACTATAGCTGCCTGCTGGCCTGTGACTCTCACAGCTAGTACAACCTTCCAGCACCTTCCACGACTGGTTTCTGTAAGAGGGGATTGTTTTTCTCCCAGTCCCCCTAAACATTCTGTAGGTAATTACAGCACTCATGGCCCCATTTTCTCACTGTGTTATTTGCCACCCTGGGTCTGTTCAGATGGCAATCTCCTGAAAACCAGGCACCTCCTCCTTGTACCCATGGCACCGTCGTGGTGCCTGGCTGCTGTCAGCACAGAGCATTAGCTCTGAGACACCTCCTCCTTGTACCCATGGCACTGTCGTGGTGCCTGGCTGCCGCATTAGCTCTGAGAGTTGCCCTCCCAGTTCCACGTCAGGTGGTAGTGTTTTGTTTTGGTGGCTTGGTTCATTTTTTCTTATTGCAGTATTATCACTGCATGGAAAGCAGAAGTAGTCTTCCCAAGTTGTGTAAAGACCCCATTAAACAGACGCCACATGCTTCAGAGAGGCAGGAACAGGAAGAAGGAAGGGATTCCCTGTGCTGGAAAGAAACCAAGTCTACATTGTCCTGAGTGTCAGGGACTACACCTGTCTGTGCAGCATTTGGGAAGGTCAGAGGAGACAACTGTGTAGTGTGCACTGGAGAAGCGTGGGTCCCCTGTGCTCACCACCACCCTAAGCCCCTGTGAGGCAGGGGGCACCTGGTACACTGTGACCAGCACTCTCCCAGCTTCCTGTCAGGAGGAGCTCTAACTCTGGACAGTAGCCATAACGATGGGCTTACATTTCCCCAACTCCTTAGATACTGTAAGGTTTTTGGCTTAAAGAAAATTTTAAAACATGATTTTTCAACAAATTGATTGCCAAAAAATCTCTGTGGTTAAGGAGGCACCTCCCTACTGGTCACTGCTTCCCCATGCCAAGCCTTCTGCCTGGGCAACTGCTCCACAATCTCCAGCTGCACCACGTGTTTACAAATGCGTTTCTCCCCGCCCCTCGGGTTTTTCTCCTCCTCCAGCGGTGAAATTCCAGAGGGCATTGAGTGGGTTACTCTTCACAAGCACAGAGTTAAGCCCAGGCCTGGTAGAAAGCACACAAAGAAGACCCAAGACCATGCATATACTGACCCATGTTGGAGGGAGCTGCGGCATGGCCTCCTGCTGTTACTCTGTGGGTTCCTGATCCTGTTCTGTAGGTTTCTGCTGTTACTCTTTGAGTTCCTGCTATTACTCTGTGGAATCCTGCTGTTACTCTGTAGGCTCTGCTATTACACTATGGGTTCTGATGTTACTCTGTGAATTCCTGCTGTTACTCTGTGGATCTCTCTGAATTCCTGCTCTTATTCTGTGGATTTCTTTTGTTGCTTTGTGAGTTTCTGCAGTTAGTTTACCTCTTTACCATCCAGACAGGAATTCTTTCACTAGGAATTGTGTGGATGCTGGCCAGCTGGGCTAAGTTTAATATTACTGTGTCCCCTATTGTGGTGGTGGGGTCTTGGCTTGGCAATTTCTACTAATACTCCATATGCAGTTAACCTTGACCCATTAGTGAAAGAAAAATAAAATCTCAGGCCTCCAAACTTACTACGCGAAAGGGAAAAGCGCGCGCGCACACACACACACACACACACAGCCTTCCTTTTGTTCCCTAAAGCTTACTTTATCTTTTGTGAAATGTAGATCTACTGAGTATGAGATAGATGCATAACCCTCCCCCATACCTGTCTTTCCACATGTGAAATTTAGATTTGCTGTACTCTCATTAGAGCCTCAGAAGAATGTGACCACTTGCCTCATAGCCTATTCTCCCATCTTTCTCCTCCTGCTGGCGCTTTTCCCTTTAAATATTTGGAAAAAAGTATAGGCCATAAATCCTACTGTAACCTGTGTTTCTTTTTCCCCAGGCACGTCCACAATTTGGCAAAATAAACCTCTAAATCAATTGAGATCTGCCTCAGACACTTTTTGGTTTACACAACAATCCAATCATAGATTTATTTGTAAATACACCTTCACAAGTTAAATCACAGAGCTCCTGAGCATTATTTATAATGGCAAACTATTGCAAACATTCTAAAGCCCATCGTAGACGTCATAGAGACTATTCGAATAAATTGATACATTTATATAACGGAATAATCTGCAACCTTGAAAGGAATGAAGGAAGGAATAGAGAGAGAGGGAAAGGAAGAAAAAGGAGAGCGAGGGAGGGACAGACAGGTGTTTAAATTGGGGATGTGCAAGCAGTATTGCCTACTTCATTGCCTTCACATTATTTAAAAACGTGGTCAAGAAACATTATAATAAGCACATCAGAAATAACTTCTAAAATTACTTTTCCAAAATACGAATCCATACTATACATTTCCTGTAATGTGCACCAAATGTAGATGCACACATTTTTAACAAGGAAAAGACTAATACTCATATTTGCTTGCTACACACCAGACGCTGTTTTAAATGTTTTGCACACGCTAACTCATTTGTTCTCATAGAAATCCTGTAGAGCTCACCGCCACCTCCATGTTTCTGGGAGGAAACTGAGGCACAGGGGCTGCGGCTCCCGGAATCACCTGGCCTTCTCGGCCACGCCTGCCTCTCCCCCTCCAGCCGCCCCACATTCTTTTTTCCTAATTGGAAAAAACTATTCACGCTGCTCTTCCAGGGCATTTCAACCTTCTAGAAAGATCTGACAAGATTCCAAACTGTTCTTATAAAGAGAAGCTGCTCGTGCCTGAATGCTGAGTGTGAGCGCGCAGTGATGCCCGAGAGTGCAGGCACCCCGGGCTAGGCGCCCAGCCGGGTGGAAACACGGCCGCAGGATGGAAATGCGGCGGCGGGGCTGCCCAGGCTCCTGTGGGACCCGCGCGGCGCGGGCACGCGCATGCTCTCACGGGCACGCACATCCTCGGGGACGCGCCTCTTCAAGACACGCGAACGCCTGAAGGCCCTGGCCGGCGTCCTCCCGTGAAGACCTGGACCGGCATCGTCCTCCGCCGCGCAGGCCTAAATCTCAGGTCTTCACCATCATCTCCGGACGATCGCAGGGATCGCGGGCACCGACCCCGCCCGTCCCTGCCCACCCGAGCCCCACCCTGCGCCTCCGCGCCCTGCTCTCTAGACTCGCGGACAGAGGGGCGGTGCCTACTACGCAGGCTCACGCTGCTGGCGTCAGGACCCGGCAGCAACACTGCCACGCGCATCCGCGCCGGCCAATCAGCGCGGCCAGGGGCGGGGCTTCCCTGCGGCGCGCCGGGAGTCAGCGGCCCACTTCCGGCAATAATCGCCGCGACGCCGTCAGGTGCGGGCCCAGGTCGCCGGCGCGCCAGGTGGGCATTGGGGGCCGCGGGCGCGTCAGGTGAAGACTGGGGGAGACGGGATCTACGGGCGCGTCAAAGGGGGGACGGCTGTGCCCAAAACGGCGAGTCAGGTGAAAGAACGGACGCCGGCGCGTCCGGTGAAGAACTGTGGGTCGCGGCGCAGGTGGGCCGGACCGCGGCGCGTCAGGTGGGACGGGGTTTCCGCGGGCGCCGCAGGTGCGACTTGGACCGCGGGCGGCGTCAGGTGGGGTCCGAGTTGCAGCGGGTGCGTCAGGTTGCGGAACGTTGGACCGCGCGCGTCAAGTGGGCGAGTGCCGCCGGCGCGGCAGTGCGACGTGGACCGCGGCCGCGTTCAGGTGGGTTCGGAGTTGCAGCGGGTGGCGTCAGGTGCGGCTTGGACCGCGGCGCGTCAGGTGGGGTCGATTTGCCGCGGGCGCACCAAGGTGCGGGCCGCTCAAGGTTGCGGACGCTTGGAACCGCGGCCGCAAGGTGGGGTCGGGGTTTGCAGCGGGCGCGTCAAGGGGGAACAGTGACCGCGCGCGTCAAGTGGGGGGTCTCGGGGCGGCTGGGTGGGTGTGGAGGGTTTCGGGGTCCGCCACAGGTGCCACCGCGTGTCGTCCAGCCGCTTCCGCCCACCTTGCTTTGCCCGCCCCTTCCGCCCCCGACCTCCTAGCCTTTGCGGGCCCGAGTTCGGCTGTCCGCCTCGCGCAAGGTGTTTCGGGGACACCCTGCCGTGTTTGTCCGGCCCGCCCTTGCTCTCGCCGGTGACCCTGCCCTGGGTGTGCCCTGCGTTCCCGGCCACTCTGCCCCGTCTGCCTTACCTTTTAAGCTATCTTCTTTCCTACTCCTGGTCCTGGTCGCTTCGCCCTCCCTTTAATTC